TGATGTAGGGGCCTTAATAATTACCAATACTATTGTCAGGGTTCCTTATTATAACTATAGTATATGGGGCCCCAGAGCCCTTTTCTAATTATGAAGGCTCCTATATTAATGCCAGTACAGCCCATCCGCTGAAAGCCTAAACCCCAGCCCCCAGAAAAATGTTTTAAGGCCTACGTGCTGACAAGAGCCTTACGAAGCCTTTGATGCCCACTATGAAACGCTTCAACAGACTCTGAGACTCTCGAAAATCCTGAGCCCTAAACCCTAAACCCTAAAGCCCTAAAGCCCAAAGCCCTAAGCCCCGACCCCCAGTCTCTAAACACCAAGCGCTAAACTGTAAATCCAAACCCCCTTTCCTCAGCCCTAAACCCTAATCCCCAAATCCTTTCAACTCAACTCCTCCCCGCCTCAGCTCGTCGTCCACGACCGCGCCATCGACGACGACTGCGACGGCCACAGAGTCGGCTTCCAAAGAGGACCGGCGGCGAGGGGCAGTCAGTAGGGCTTTCAGCATAAGGGCTCGATCAGGGTCTATCAGAGTTCTACCAAAAACTCGGAAGACTTTTATAAGGGCTCTGCAAAGGTCCTATTACGGTCCTACAAGGGTTCTGTGAGGTTTCTGGCAGGGTTCTATAAAGGATCTGTCAGGGTTAAGCCCTGAACCCTAAATTCTGAGCGATGCGACATCCTGCGCCACTGAGCAATAAGACGAAGCCGCGAAACGCGGTGGAGATGTAGAGCCCTGAAGCCCAAAAGAGCCAAAGTCTAAAGACTCAACAAGACGCCCTTAACCTTTAGGGGTTTAGGGGTTTGGGGTTTTGGGATTTAGGGGTTAAATGTTTAGTGTCTAGGGTTTAAGGGTTTAGTAAGCTCTTAATAATATAGGGGCCTTAAAATCACAATAACATACCCACAAAACCCAGCCCAAACCCTGAACCTCGAAACTCTGCAACCCTCGACCGCCAGCTCAGAGCTCCTTCTAAACCCAAACCCTGAACCCCAAACCCTTAGAAAAGCCAGTGGCGAACCGCAACCCACTACAGAGGTTTAGTGTTTAGGAGGCATGAATCGAAAGTATTTGCCAGTGTAGTAGCATATTGCCTATAACATTTGAGGCGCGACACTTCGCAGACGGAAGATGTGTAGAGTATGTGATTACTTAGCTACGGTCCCTATGTTAGCGCCGGGGAGTAGTAAGCCCCTTTCCTCCAGAGCTCAATCATCGGGATCCTCATGGACTCATGGACCCTTCAGCAATGAGTTTCAGCTTTGCATAAGTTAAAGGATTCTCTCAAGCCCTTCATACAAATTTCTCAAAAGATTCGCAGGGCCCAAGCAACTTCTCAAACCCCTTAGCCCGAAGAGGACCAGCAGGCCGTGGATGACGCCAAGGCCAGCCGCACCCGCTTTCGCAGCGCGGCGAGGGTTGCAATCTGGCAACGCGGGCCCTAATGCAATGTCTCGCATGGCACACCCTACAGGGTTACTCCGACTTGGGTACTGCCCCCACTCAGTAACAGTTGGATAATATTTATATTATGGATATATTAGGCCCTTAATAGTAGCCCTATTATAGACTGTTACTGTATGGGGGCAGTACCCAGGTTATTCCACAGCCCTGAATCCAAATCTTTACCCCTAAACCCTACGCCCAACCTGAATCCGACCCCCGCAATTCCGCAGCTCTCCAAGAGGGTCAGCTTTTGCGGGATGCTTGCTTACTGTCAAGGCCTACCTGATAGACTAAGCTTCGAGGGGTTGACGTCTTAGGGAGTGAACAAGGATTTAGGGGTTAAGGTTTATAGGGTTCAGATGCAGAGCACTGGGCTTGGAGTTTATTTTCGGGCTTCCTAAACCCTAAACCCTACACCAGAAAGCCCTAAACCCTAAAACCTTAAACCTCAGCCCTGAACCCTATACTACCTATGCCCGTGCTTCGGCCAATGACGGATTCGTATAAGCCCGTGAAAATTTGAAATCTCTAAAGCCTCATAAACCCTAAACCCGAAGCGCTAAACCCCTAAACCCTAAACCCTATACCCTAAACCCTAAACCCTAAACCTATTAAACCCTGCAGCCCTTGGCAGAAGCTCGCGGCCGCAGCGCAGCAGCCCGGGGCGACGCCCCCAAATGGCGCCTTGCTGGGCCTTGGGCAGGGGCCGGGGCCTTGCCAAACCTGCTTGGAAGGGTTGAGGGTCTAGGGTTTAGGGTTGAGGGTTTAGAGTCTAGGGTGTAGGGTTTAGGGTTTAGGGTTGAGGGTTTAGGGTTATGTTCGAGGGTTTAGGGTCTTGGGTTTTGGGTTTAGGGTTGAGGGTTGAGGGTTTAGGGTTGAGGGTTGAGGGTTTAGGGTCTAGGGTTTAGGGTCTAGGGTTTAGGGTTGAGGGGTTTAGGGTTTGGGGCCAGTGGGTTTAGAGTTTAGGGTGGAGGGTTGAGGGTTTAGGGTTGAGGGTTGAGGGTCTAGGGCCAGTGGGTTTAGGGTTTAGGCTTTTTCCCATGCCTAAACCCTAAACCTTAAACACTGTTTCTGTTTACATTGTTTCCCGGGGTTATAGGAGTGCAGGGCTTAAGGACTTGAGGGCTCGAGGGTCTTGTGGGGTTCAGGGCTTTAGAGCTGGGACCCTTGGATCCAGAGACCCAGAGCCCGAGATGGACCTCAACCTAAAAACCTAAGCCGTAGATTCCGTAGATGCTGGATCCTAAAGCCTCAGCCTAAAGCCTAAACCCTAAATCCTAAATCCTAAACCCTAAACCCTAAATCCTAAACCCTAAACCCTAAACCCTAAATCCTAAACCCTAAGCCCTAAATCCAAAGCCCGAAGCCGTAAGCCGAGAACTGAAGCCCTTCTCTCCTAAGACCTGGGCCACAGGGCTCCGGGCTTCGTGTAGTGGGGCTTCATGGAAAAAGATCAGGAGGGTAGTTCTCTAAATTAGGGTCGCATTTGAGGTCCCCAATATAGTACGGCACCCTTATAAAAAGGACCCCAAACGGGACCCTAATTTAGAGAACTACCCGGGAATCAAGGTTGGAGGGTTTAGGGTTTAGGGTTGGTGTTAGAGGGATGGGGTCTAAACATGTCTGAGCCAGGAGACCCTAAACCCTAACAAAGAATGCGAGCTTGACCGGGCTAGTATGTCGGGGTTGATGTGGGAGTTTCTCTAGGGGCCCTGTTCACAAAGATCCTAAAATCGTGGGGATCCATTTTAGGGTGCCACTTTCTCAGAAACCCCCTCGTGCTTCCAGTGGTTGATATGGTTTCTTGTGTGTTGCGGAGTGCGCAGTTTATCAACCGGGTCAAATCACCCCCGCACGGCAAGAGCCTTGGAAGCGTGGCCGAGGTTGCTTGCCGCCGAGCCCGGTCAAAACGAGGTGTGGAAGTTGTTGATTGCTACTACTGCCACTGCTGCTACTACTACTACTACTACTACTACTAGTACTACTACTACTACGACGACGACGACTACTACTACTGCTACTACTGCGACTACTGCTACTACTGCTACTACTGCTACTGCTGCTACTACTACTACGACGACGACGATGACGACGACTACTTCTATGGCAATACGGATAAGAATGGTAAACAGAGAACGCTAACATGGACATGTGG